AGCGTGAAAAGCCACCCAAGGCAGACGTGCAATGTATTTATACTCGAGTAGAATAGAGGCGGATCGTTAGATCAATAGCTGAATCAACGACCCAGATGAAGCGTAGAATTCGAGGAGTCGGCGATGGAGGTGACGCGCGTCAATTAGGGTTTTCTGAAATTTGAAATTTGAAATTTCAAAGGGGTCTGTCAGAGTGTCAGACTTAACCGAAAAAGCAATCATGAGGTTGGGATGCGCCCCGATGGATTGACGAGACGAGTCATCAAAGAGGACGAAGACGAGCAGGTACCACAGGAAGACAACGAAGCTACATACCACCAAATTTACTCTTAAGCAGTCGACTGCTTAGAGTAATTTTCGGGGGGGACTAGATGATATGGCCACATAAGGATAACCCGGTCCAGAAGCTTATTACTCAACCGGTGAACCACTCGAATTACTCGCATGTCGACATGACTCCGTCGACATGCCCAAATCGACTTCCCAAAGGTCGATCTACTAAGAGCAATCAAGAAGAAGCCGAGATTGATCTAGTCGACTCTTGCAAGTCGACCTTAATCCACCGACTTTCTCTAATCGACATCAATGAAAGAGGAACAGCAAAGCTCCCAGTCATCCAGATACTCTAAGTCGACCCCCAGAAGTCGACTGAACTAAGACGACTCTCTGAAGACGACTCCGTCTCAAAGAACTAGTCAAGCGTAGCCTCCGAATCCGCACATATCAACGAGTCGACTTCCTAGATCTCGAAGTCGACTTCACATACCTTAAACAACAAAGATGTGATGACGATTCATCACACTTGTAACATATCCAAAGTCCTCCACATTGGGAAAGATAAGAAGGAATCTCGCGATGACTCAGCAACAAAGGGGAGACGAATCGACAGGGGCATTTTGGACCTTCTAGGTCCACCGACTTGGGTATTTTGGACACTTCGCGTAAGTATTCACTCCTATATAAAGGAGATGAGGTAACCCTAAAACCCTAACTCTCATTCACTCCCACTCTCCCCCATAGCTGTTGCGCAGCCCCTCTTCATCACTCTCATACTGACTTGAGCGTCGGAGGCTCTACGCCGGAAACACCTCCGGCGTTGAGTTTTTGCAGGTATTCTTGCGGTCTAGCAACGGTTTAAAGACGGTTCAAGCAGATCTGAGCTCACAACCACCGGTTTACTCCAGATCCAGAAGTAGACCCATCATAGTACAACATACTAAATTATATTAATATGATTTTTCGTACTAACAAGAACAGTTTTACAAACTTGATCTTTTGAAACAACATTTTCGAGTCTATAACGTTCTTCTTCATTTTAGAAACGAATCCATAGAGACATAAGCTCACGATGCACATAACCACTAGGATGTGTCTCAAGAATCTGTTGAATCGTTTGATCCATAGATTCTTTACTCAATCCATCCTTTATAAAACCTATTTTATCCTCTCGATTTTTGGACACGGACCCTACAGATTTACATCGTGTGTCACAAGTCCATCGAGCGCATTTGAAGCATCCACCTAATCTTTTTGCTCTTCGTTTCTTTGCAAAAGTACTTTTACCCATACTTGGCATATATTTGTATGGTTTTGGAAACTCTCGAGACAATCGATCTTTTGCTTCAATCAACCATCGAATATCACTTGGAATATCATTAATCATTAGCACCCTCAATCATTCTAATCGAGATCGAGAAATCACTTTTATGATATTTATTGGAAGAAAAAAATAATATTTACGGATAGTTGAGAGTGCGAAATCCATTTGTAAATTCGCGCCTTTGTTAAGGAAGATTGAATGAATTATCTGATAATTTATAGAAATGATACGTATGCGATACGACTCTAAAAATAGAATTTAAAAGTCTGTGTGTCAGAAGGCATGATACGCATGTGATACGATTCTTAATTTAAATATTGTGTGTCAGAATCGGCACTTGAAGTGCATTTATTGCCGCCGAAAGATGATGTGGCATGTTTGGTATAAATATGAATTATTGTGATGTATATCGATATTAATGATAATGGTTTGCATGATTTGTGATATGAGATGCTTTGTTCTCGATTAATGAAAATTATTACTAGCTAAATATTTGTGAATCGATATTTGATAAATATAAGTATGAAAGGGGTACGATATATATGATCCCACTACCCACCCATGTGTGCTACTATATATTATGGATCCACTAGATAGCCACATTAGTATGTGATTTGTAACCTGAAGTTACAAAATGATTATGAAATAATGAAAATAAGTGTCATATAAAATTTATAAAGCTAGTAATATACTCAATTGATATGATGAACTCTTGAAAGAAAAATGTGCACATTAGAAGTGATATAAGTTCAAAGTTCTCCTATTATATATATTGAAATCGAGAATGAAACATAGAATATATGAACTCCCCTCAAGAAATTCAATATTAAAAATACATATCAGGGATTTGTTAAGATGAGGGGGAGAATAAATGATTGAATGATATATGTATCACACTGGAAGTGTGAAAATAAACTGAATGATACTGATGGTGGTGAAATATATGAAATAATATGACGATGGAATAATATGCTGGAACCGTTGGTATCATACAAATTATGGAAAGATTAATATATGGAATACGCGTTGTACTCTTTTTCCCTTGACTGAGGTTTTGTCCCATTGGGTTTTACCAGCAAGGTTTTTAATGAGGCAACAGGGATGACGTATTCACATGAATAGTGTACTCTTTTTCCTTTCTTAGGATGTTGTTCCACAGGGTTTTTCCTAATAAGGTTTTAACAAGGCATATTCATGATATAATAAGGACTACTGGATAATTGATATAGTTCCTCATGATGATAAGAAAACACTGGAGTAGTTGTACTCTTTTTCCTTCGATCAAGTTTTTGTTCCCACTGGGTTTTCTTGGCACGTGGATACTCCACCAAAGATGATCTATTTGAGGGGGAGCAATATTGTGCTTCCACAATGCTCAGGTTTTATCCCACTGGGTTTTCCTGAGGAAACGATGATGTGATTCCAAAATATTCAGGTTTTATCCCACCAGGTTTTCCTGACATGCTGAAGCAATGGTACCTGATGACCACAAGATACATTTCAAGATGTTCAGATTGAACTTTATTCAAATAATGATTAAAATATGTTTATAAAATAGTCATTCAAAGGGGAGTATTATAATATGGTAAGTGTGATGGATGTAACCACCACCTACCATAATATATTTTATTATTAAATAATATATGTGAATGACTATTTTGCCCCTGATGTAATTGTATTATTACAATTGTGCCATCAGAAGTTTTCCTATAAATAGAAGCTTCAGTTATAATGAAAATAAGAGAAAACATTCTCTATATTCTCTCTTTTTCTCTCTAGTTTTATAACACTGAAAACCCAATTCCATGCAGACAATTTCAGGTTTTAAGTAATTAACCTGAAATAATTAAATAACAAAAGAAATAAAATAAAAGAGTGCGATGCGAAGGGCGAAAACCATACTTCTTACCGTCGGGTTGTCGGCGTACATAGGAACAATGAGAGACGATTATTCTTGTTGGGTAGGGTTTTTTTCTGTTATGAATTTCTCATTTCTGTTTCCAAATCGTTGAGAGGAGATGAAAACTGTGAATTGTGAATTGTGGGTCTGTGACATTGAGTCATTGAGTAAGGTTCTTTTTCTGTTTGTGGCTTTGAGTTTAATCTTAAAAAAAAATACATAAAAAAAATAAAAAATAAAAAATTGGCCCAACGGCCCCATAGGTTGAGCTTGTGGGCCTAGGCCTTAGTTGAAGGCTTGAAGCCCAATAAGTTACGTTTTTTTTTTTCTTTTTTAATTATGGACTTGCCGGCGGGCTGGCCCTGTAGCCCGTAAGCCCACCTGTTTAGCCCGTGGGCTAATAGGTCGAGGCCTAAAAAGCTCGAATTTAAACGGACTGGTAGTAAGGGGTACTAAACCTATTTTTTTGGGGCTAAGCGGGCTACGCTCGACGAGTCAAAGACTATTTAACATCTCTACTTATTACTCTAAATGTTGTTCAATCAAATAACTACTTCTCAATTCACATGATCACCCCTATGTATAATTACTGAATGTGTTGAGCCTAAGTGGCAGATTCACACGCTACGGAATCTCATGTGGCAAAAAATCATGCTTCGGAGTCAAGCTTGGATATAAATTAATATTTTCTATATATAAAAAAATTAACCTTGCCTTTCATTTAATGTATATGTTTTTCATATTAAATCAGTGATCGAGTTTTTCCTTATTTTCTTCTACAATTAGTTAGCATAAACTATTTTACATTTCCTTTTCTTGCATTACCATATATTACATTTTCTTTTCTTATTTAATTGATACATCAATTATTATATATACTTCTTCTTACTTTTAAATTGTATAACTTTTTATGTCTGTATTTTGCTTTTCATATACGATATAACAAATTAATTATCTTATAACGATCTTCGATTGGAATTGATAAACATTCTTGTGGTATATGCAGAAAAATGTTGTTAGTCGATGTTTATAGCATAGTATGTTTATATTATATGCTATGAGTGATAAATATTTTCGTTTTACATACCGTATATAACGCACAAGCTAATGTGAATAAAAATTATTTTGGTCTCCTATAACATGTATAATTTTGAAGAAGAAAAAAAAAACTTATTGGAAAATTGAAACTTAAAAAATTATATTATAATTCTATTAAAAAAATATATGCATATATATTTAATTTCAATTTCCCGTCTAGTACACGGGTGTTGTACTAGTATTTATTATAAATAAGATTCAAAATGATAAATAATGGAAGAACCATAACCTAATAGATTGCAAAAACTATATATATATCAATAAGAATAAGAGAAGAATCTGTAAAGACCATTCATAAATATATGTACACCTGTATATTTTCACAAGAAAAACAATAACTTTTGAAACCATTTTGCCAAACAACAATTAAAAAAACTTTTGCGGACGCGTAATAAAAAAATTGTCAAGATTAAGAAACTTCCAAACTGTTTTTAAACAAAGCAAAACATTTAAATATAACCAACCAAACCCAACATCTTTCAGCAACTCATCATAACACCAACAAACAAAATCGTTCCAAAAACAGTTGTGAAAACTGGTGCTCTGCCGTGTGAATCCACCAAAAACAAAATTGAAACTATTCCAAATCTCGATCAACTAACTCATCTTTATCTACTTCAGTTTACACCACAAAGTAAATTCAAAGTTCCAAGATATACAACAACATATTAGAGAAGCACTTTAACTTTCAACGTCCCTCCTAATGCCTTGTTGATCTTGTCATAGATGTGGTACAACACACGTGCCATGTCAGGGAGATCTTGAGAGGCTTGGACATTCAAATTACATAATCATAATTTGTTCCTTCAAATCAACTCGTCCCGTGATGAATATTTACCATCAAATATCCTCCTCCTAGCTTCTATTGCCTGACATTAATAACACAAGCTCCTTAAATTTGGATTTTGTATTTCCAGCTGTTTTGGTACTTTGATCAAAGAATGATAAAAAAGGCGAATAAACCAGGCATATTCATCAAACCGTACCTTTTTCTCCAAATCAGTGAGGTGTGTTACGATGCCGAGCAAGATAGATTGTACTCCGGCTCCAACTATAAGTCCACTCCACAGACCCTCACCTTTCAAGTGTAAAATGAATCCAAGTAATAATGAAACAGGAATACCCACAAGATAATATGCCCCGAGATTAACACATGCCCCTATGTGCTGCCAGCCACTACCTCTAGCGATTCCTACAACAGAAGAAGACAAAAGACCGAGATGTTAGTCATAAAGTTGGTTCTAAATTGTAAATCTCTGTCAGGAAAAAAAAAATAAAATAAATAAAATAAATAAATTTTCCCAACTGATCACCCCTTTTTTATGGCTCTCGTGGTCCTAGTGATAAATTAATTCATCACTCAAAGTACCTTTTGACACATAAACATAATGACAGTTGCAAAAATCATTCATCAAATGGCGTCAAAACTGTAACAAAGATGTTCCATACATAGCACCACACACTTTTAATTTCAACCTGTATAGGTTCTTTCCAGTTATCCAATACTTCTAAACAAAGTTAGCAACTAGCACAATTTGCACATGCCCACTGGAGAAGAGAAATCAAGTAATGTTTCGGTCTTGCAGATTAATTTCCTGAGACACAAATACCAGTCAAAACATAGTAACAAGAGAAAGAAACAAAAAAAAGAGTAACAAAGAACACCTGAGAGGACTGCTTGTGAACTATCCATGACAATGGAAACGCAAAGGAAAGGAGTCATTTTTTCCACATAAGAGACCACACTCTCCTCATTACTAAAAGAAAATCCGAGTACATGACGACAGAAGAAAATAACAGTGGTTGCAAGAACAATTTCAGCACTTGTCAAAAGCAATACGGCGGATAGAACTAGTTGAGCTGCCTGTGGTTTCCCGGCTCCAAGTTCATTAGAAACCCGAGTGCTACATGATAACAAGTCATTTAGTTCATTGAGATAAAACTCACATAAATTCAGCAGGGCAAATGATTGAAAATTAAACCTTGCAGCAGCACCAAAAGAATATGGTATGAGGTAGTGCAGTGTGGTAATTGTCAAGCTGCTCAAGAAATCAAGAAATCAAGAAACCAACTTAGACGCACTCAAAATTTCAAGTCATGGAAAATACATAATAAAATTGGCATACCATATAGACAGCACCGAGGTCTCCAGCTCAGGATTTGGAAGCAGCCCACTAAACAATATGACTAGCTCATATGTCCACCACTCTAAACTACAAAGTTCGCAACATAGCATGAATAACCGTATGAGAAACAGATATAACAACTATACATTTATAGAAACGAAAAATTACAAGAACTATCCTTGAGGTTTAGGTATAATGGAAAAAGCGATCAATTTTAAAGCATTAACGGGAAAAATAGTTTAGATTCGACTGACAATTTTCTGTTCACAAGGGAAAAAAAGTTTCACAATCTATGTTCTTTCGTATTACCAAAATTTCTTTTAGCCTTTCTTTTTGGGGGACAAAACAAAAATCCAAACCTCAAGGGTATGTTGGTATAGATATCTATTTATAGTAAGTAAATTACCAAACCATAACAGCAGAAGGTATAGCAAAATGGAAAAATTCCCCTGCCGTTCGTAAAACATTCCTTGAGAAGGGAGCATGAGTTTTCTGACAGGCTGAAGAATACTTCACATAAAGTCCAAGAAAGATCACATTCAACCAATATGAGATACAAATAGCAAGTGCTGCACCAGCATTTCCAAGCTTTAACTTGAATATAAAAGCCCACGAAAGAGGAAAATGGATACAAAGACAAGCCAACGAACTAACAAGCATAGGAAATATTAAGCTCTGGGTCTGCAAGTAGCGAACCAAGGACTGAAGAATGGCATAGGGAAATAGTGAAGGGATCATCCAAACCGCAAACTTGCCAGCTTCTGCAGAAATTACAGGGTCTTGGCCGATTAATATCAAAAGCTTGTCTGTATAAATCCAAAAAACACAGACAGGCAAACATGCAAGGCAGAGCCATATTATGGCCCCGTAAGTTAAAGTTCCAACTTTCTGATAATGTTGTGCTCCATAGGCCTGTCCACATAGCGTCTCCAATGCGCTAGCCATTCCACTCTGCTTGGGAGATGCAAATATTAGGTTATGATGCATTGCTTGAATGATCCAAACTTAGCATGACAAATGAATACGCTAGAAGTAAAGAATCACGAAAAGAGAAAATCCATAATGTTATTGATTATATAATAATAGGGATGGAAAAGAAGTATGATTCATAATTCTCCAACAGGTTCTCTGCTCAGCAAGAAACTTGCCCAATTGCTTACAAAACAAATCTCTTCGCACCTGTTGACAAGTGTGTCTCTTATATACTAATCTATAGCTAATACAAAATGACAATAGGTAATAAAAGGGGTATGAGCATTTAAGAAATAAAAAATCAGTCGATACTTAGATTAAGCACCAATTAAGACCCCAAAAATCAGCATAAGATATTCTAAAGGCATTGGAAATTCTTTGAATGATTTGAAATTTGAACCACCTTGTTGTCATGCTATCCTTACAAAGTACATCAATAAACATATTTGACATCTATGGAGCAACCAGAGATTTTCAGCATAGGTGCTGTCAGCTAAAAGTAGTTTGCAATCCTTTACTTAACAAGAGAACAATCATACAAATTGTCACTTAACAAGTAAATTATGAAAGCTCACTGCATTGATGATGAGCTCAGCAGCCCCATTACACTCTTCAGTCATGCGCATAATGAGTCCTGAGACAAACAAGCTTAAATAAGGAGTGCCCCCAAGAGGGGAAAAGTGAAGCACAGTGACCTGCAAATCTATCTTGAGGTGTTGTCAGGACAACTGTATGACGTTAAGTTGGTACATTGAAGACTTAGATAGAAAAAGGCCAGGTTCATAATACCGCACTCTCCAGTCCACTTTCGATTGTAGTCATATAGTATATTATAGTGTCGAGCTTGCCTTGTTATCAATCATGGACAACTATGCATCGCACCTATTTACAGACATTGGTTAAATAATACCCAATAAATTTGCTATTCGAGATGTTTCTGAAAAGTTTTTAGTTAGCAAGCAGGGATGCTAAAAAAACAATGATCCCATGTCATAATTTCCCCTACAAGTTCACCGCAAAACCGCTTGACTTGAGGCTGAAAACCCAAGAACTAATATCATATTATACTGTAACCTCCAACTTCATTCACATCTTCCTGTTCTTCCTAAACTTCCCTCCATCTGAAGTACTTACATCAATTATATGACGCCTAACTCTTACAAACCTTCAATGAAAACAGAAATGAGACAAAAAGGTAAAGAGAAAAGAAAAAAATAGATGGAAGGCAGGCAATGTGTCAAACACCTAACAGACGTTACACGAACAAACAAGTACGAAGCACAAAGCAGGCATTACAAGCAGAATCACTCACAGTCCTGATAAAACACGAAAGGAAATTAGTATTACATGTACTAAATAAAAGTAACAGTAACTCTTACCAGGAGACTAAATCCGGTGACGTTGGCAAGAGAGGTAGCAATTGAGGCGCTTGATAGCGCGAGCTCGCCAAGATGGCCCAGCATCATCATCGACACGGCCCGCAGCAGGTACTGCGACACCGACACCACCACCATAGGCATGGCTATGTAGCTCACCGTGTTCAATTCCCTCACAAACGCCTCCCATTTAGTTATCGTTTGTGTATCTCTGCTTTCGTGTGGTGCGAGGAGGGGCTGTTCGGAGTCCATGGGTTCGGTGTTTCTTGGCGGCCTAAACCTAAAGGGATTGACGGCGTCAATTTGACGCTCGAGCTGGACGACACTCGTCAATGGACTTCTGAAGGTGACGCCACTTATTCACATCAAAAAATAATAATCAATTATTATTAGGCCATCTGTTTTTGAATCATTTATTTATATAAAAAAAAACAAAAAATCCGTGGACATCCATAAAAAAAAAAAAAACATTCTGGACAAAAATAAAACAGCCGGATTCTCAAAATCCGTTTTTCCAAGGAAAAACGGATTTTGAGAATCCGTTTTTATTTTTTTATTATTTTTATTTTTATTTTTTTTTTATTTTTTGTTAAAAAACGGATTTTCAAAATCCGTTTTTTATTTTTTATTTATTTTTTTAATAATAAAAAATAAAAAACGGATTTTGAAAATCCGTTTTTTATTTTTTAATTATTTTTT